TGTTAGTTAAAAAAGAAACTTTTCTTTTTTCCATTAATAATTTTTATTTTATGCAATATTAATTTATGTTTCACTAATTTTATTAAGTTACATAATTTCTTTTATTATATCATAAATTAGTCGAAGGAAAGTTCGATTCAATTCTCTTGATGACATGGCTGATTAGGTGTCAAAAAACATTCCAGTCATCACGCCAAATGTCGCAATTCTGAGAGTCCAACTCTCAAACATTATATATATAAAGGATTAAATGTATTTAGGGTCCACCTTAGGGGTGGACACGGTACGGTTCCGGGACGGTTCCGATACCGGAACCGCCGGTTCCGGTACCGCCACCCCTTGGTACCGGTACCGGTACCGGACCGGCCGGTATCGGTTCCGGTTCTCGGACCGGCGGTTCTGGTATCGGACCGGTCTGTTTTCGGCCACCCCCAAATTATTATTTTTTACTTTTTTATTAAATTTTTAAAGTGTAAAATTTTAAATGTGAAATTGTTAAAGGAAAGAATGAAATAAAAAATCTAAAAATACAAAAGTTTTGAGAAATTGGCATACCAGAACCGAAATTTGCAGCGGAAAGAAGTCAGTCATGAACAAAAGGGGGAAGGCTTAAAATAGGTGGAATTTTAAGTAGACATCCCAATGTAATTTCAATAATGAATAATAGAATAGTGATCCAAAAATGGGTACCGGAACCGCCGGTGCCGGTACCAAAAAATGGGTACCGGAACCGGTACCGGTTCCCAGAACCGGTGGAACGTACCGGCCGGCAGTGACGGTGGCGGGTACCGGCGGTACCGTTACCGGTCACGGTACCGTACCGGTACCGTGTCCACCCCTAGTCCACCTTAAACTACATAACCAGTTACGATAAGTTTAACCCCAATTACCTGATTCGTCAATCATATCTTGGACCCAATAGGTGCGATTCATGAACCGTTTGCGCGATCGAGTTCAGAACAACGAGCCCTACAACGTAGGTCAACTCTCATATTAAATATGCAAATTAGAAAATAATCTTTATTCTGACCGACTCAGTAATTAATTAATTATATAAATTAATTAAAAATACTAAGCCGGGTTTTGGGGCGTTACATTTCTCTCCTCTTTAAAAGAATTTCGTCCTCGAAATTATCTGAATCATTGTCACTGGAAAGGTGAGGATACCAAACTCTCATAGAATCCCCAATCTCCCATGTGGCTTCTTCAACGGCATGATTGCGCCACAAGACTTCGACCAAAAGCACCCGCTTATTTCTCAACTGCTTCATCTAACGTGCTAGGATCTGCACAGACTCCTCCTCATAAGTCAAATTATCGCCCAAGGTGATTGTTCCCTCGGGTAACCGATGGGTCGGATCTTATCAGTAACGCCCCAACATATGGACCATGAGCCACGATAGAGTGTTGGGAAACGCTGAGCGCAAGAGGAGAGGCTTGACGGTGGATGGTAGCTGCCTCATATGCAGCGGGCATGAAGAGACAACTGATCACATATTTAGGTCTTGCATCAAGGCTAAACGTGTCTGGAATGACATTGGGGTCAACATGAACACAAATAGCGATGGTGAGGTCAAGAACTGGATCTACAAAAATGTCTCACAGAAGATACACAGCAACATCGACAGCGACTGGGGTATCACTTTCGCCACTGCTTGCTGGTGGATATGGTGATGACGAAATGCTAGGACTTTTAGTGGTGAGGAGCTGGAAGATAAACGGAAGATCAGTTGGATCAAAGAGGCAGTTAGAGAAATTAATACTGCTTTTCGGAGACAGCGGATGGTGGGCAACATTCCCAACTCAGCCGATTGCTCGCTTAGGTGGAAGATGTCTCAAGATTGTGAATGGACCCTCAATGTTGATGGTAGTTGCAAAACATTCATCGACAAAGCAGGTATCGGTGGTGTCCTTCGGAATAGCAGAGGTGAGTGGAAAGGTGGTTTTACGGCCAAGGCTAGAGAAAGGAGTGCAACATCGGTGGAAGTTATGGCCATCTCTGCGAGTATTCAGTGGGCTTGGGAACAAGGAGTTCGAGAACTTGAGATTCAAACGGACGCAGGTGAGGCTGTTAAGTGGATTGCTGACAATAATTCACTTAGAGGACCTACTCGTCACATCATTGATAACATTAAGAAGTGGCAAACTAAGTATAGAAGGATCAAGATAAAGAGCATATTCCGCGAACAAAATTTTGCGGCTGACCACATGGCTAGTATTAGAGCTTTTCAGCATGCTGATTGGATTGAGCATGAAGTTCCCCCACCTGGGATGGAGGACATCATTACAAGGGACAAGATAGGCGTTACCAGAATTCACAGAGTTACTTCTCCTGAGGAGACGAGTTAGTTCGGGGTTTCCCCCCTCCCCATTTGATCAAAAAAACACATTGTGAATCTTGTTCAGTTCACGGGTAGCTCCAACTGATACGCTACAAGACCAACGATACAATATTATTATAACTTATATCCGAAATTCATTAATTGGATAAAAAATGACATATAAAGAATGTCACATGTCTACATACTATTGATTGGAGTCTCATTTTTATATATAAAGGATAAAGGACTATTATTGAGTCATTGACTTTTTTTAAACGTAACTGATAATAAAAAATCATGTTTCATGCATATAATTGGTTTTTGGATTCTTTAAACCCGTCATCTGCAAATTTTCTTATCATTTATATTTAAATATAGTAACTTATGAAGAATCATACAATTCTCATCTTCAAGTTTTAAACATAACAAGATAGCTAGAGAACTATAGAGTAGTAAATCTAATTTTATTTAGAATTTTTTTATTTATAATATCACTAACAAGAGTAGTAACAAATACAATCATTCTGAGGATTTTTCTCAACACATTTAGCACTTTGTAGAGTGCCTTTTGGGATTATAGATGCACAAGAAGCCATGCAAATGGTGCTATCATTTACTTCACATTCACTAGGAAACTGAGTCTGGCACACTCCCTCAGTATGCATGAAGGGTATTCTTTCCTCAGCTACAAAAAAAAAATAACAAAAGAAAAATTGTCAAATAAAAAAAATTATATTATTATCCAAAATTATAATTTGAAAAACATTCGATCATCAAGGCCATGTTTCGGAACAATATATTTATATGATTTAACATTTTTGGAATATTTTTAATGATGTCGATCGATTAATTGTGAAAATGCTACAAATCCTACAATTTCATAATATCTAAATTTAAATTTTGAAGTTGTTCATAAGGACTAAATTTTATTCAAGCTTAGTTTTTAGTGTCTTATTTGTATCTATAATTCATATTTTAGATATAAATTTTTTCACAGATTGAGACTTTAAATTTGGACTTTCTTTTCAAATCTTTGACAAACATAACATTTTAAATCATGTAAGAAGATATTATGCTTGCATATTATATTACCATCGACATAATTATCGATGTTCACTCTTTTCAATTACACTCTTTCATCTACTCGATTTCATAGTGAGTGCAAATCCTCAATTTAATTGACTATAATATTTTAGTTACAAAATCAACAAATTTAATTATTTTCAAAAAAGAAGAAAGAAATTACATACCAGAAGCAATTGCTAAGGCAACAATAACAACGAAAGCCAAAAGAAACTTTTTCTCCATCATTTTGTATCGTGATATTATGAGCTACCAGTTATTAAAACTCAAAACCTTATTATTTTATGTGTATGTTTTTTTAGGGGACTTATTTTTATAGTGAAAAGCCTATAGATTTTATAATTTAGTAACATTCTACTATAGTAATATATTAATTTTAGTTCTTAGCAATTAATTATATACGGAGTACAATGTATTTAGAATCAATACATGCATTTTTAGTTAGAAATTGATACTATCCAAAATTATAGGAATGTATTATTGTCACAAATCAGCACGCAATAAGTAAGGAATAAAACCAGGGAGATTTTCTTGAAAAATGTTACAATATAGGGAGTACTACCTATGTCCCATAAAAACTATGGACTCGAGATATCATAATCTTTTTTTTTTGTGTTAGATGGATATAGAGTTTGATATCTCGAAATATCATAAATCCTCCAAATAGAGGGTTATGATATCTCTCAAATTTAGGAAATATCTCTCCGCTCAAGCTACCATTGTCACCGCAAATTAAACCATCTCCATTGTTGAACACCCCGCTCATCACTAATTAAATCATGATATTAAGTCTCTCCAAACAACATCGTTTGAAATTTTAAAATCCCTATAATTTCTCTCAGATTTTAAAACACATATCTTATCATACTTTCAAAACTCACCAAACGAGCTCGTATTGGGTTTGTAAAAGTGAAGTTCATTTTTCATGGTGAACTAGTATTTTAACCCGTGTCATGCACGGGTAGAACGAAATTTTGTTATATTCTACATTACTTGAAAGACACTGTTCTTTTAGATTCTGACTTTAAGAGTTTTTATTTTTGTTGAGATCAGAGAACAATATTTTTTTAAAGAATCTAAATCTAATTTCCTACATTTGGTAACATAAGTGGTAGGAAATCATTTTTTAGAGAAGTGATTTTATTTTTTATGGATGAACGTTCATTTTTTTGGCGACGTTGCCGGGGATCGAACCCGGGTTACCCGCGTGACAGGCAGGAATACTTACCAAAATTTGTTGAGGATTTGTCGTGCGATCCAAAACAAATTAAAAATTTATAAAATATTCTTATTAGCTAACCCCCAACGTATAATCAAATAAAAACTATAGCTGAGCAAGTAAGAGTCGATCCCACGGAGAAAGTTTGTACTTTTTTAAATCAATTTATTATGCAAACACGTTGTCACGAAATAAAAGAACAAACTAACTACTACACGTATGATAAGACGTATAAAACTTATAATAAAACTTAGTAAAAAAAACTTATATAATAACAAAAACAATATAACAAGGGGGGGTGTATAAAAAGTAAATATATTTTTGGTTTTTTATATTTTTTATTTTTTTGGTTTTTTTAATAGAATGGGGGAAAAACAAGCTCAAAAGATAATCAACTTTTCCAACAAAGGTAAACCAAGGAACACCGCCAAAAACCTGAAACAAAATGAAAAAAGAGAACAAACACGAGTTGAACATTACACGTATAATAGGCATGTAGACAATATATTATGTAACTTACGCACTTAAGAATAGAAAATATCAATCAAAGGCCGAGTCGGTTCATTTCCTTAACCACGATATGGAGGATTGTCAACTCTCGACACGGCCCGGAGTCATGCAATTCAAAGGCCCGTTTTGAAATATACCTTAGAACCCCAACTCTCTATTCAAGCATGAGAACATACTTCCACTATAGAAAAAGTTTATAAAAGAGAGAGGCCGTGTTTGGAAAACAGCATTTGGGATAGCTTTTGGCATCTTTGACTGACTTTGGCTTTTTTAACCAAGCGAACCGCCAAAACCATTGTTTGGCTAATGGCTTTTTCACTTGGCATTTTGATCCGAAAAGCCAAAATCTGAAATGCCAAGGTGAGTAGCATTTGGACTTGGCGGTTAGGAAAAATAATTTTTTTAAAATCATTTTTGTTGAAAGATATTTTATAATATATGTAAAAAATAAAAATAAAAGTTAAAAAAATTAAATACGAAAAAATAAAATAACATTAAAAAAATTATATTTATAATTCATTAAAAATATTATATTTATAATTCATATAGTAAAGATTAAATTTTTACATGTAAAGAAATGAAAAATAAATATCATGTATATATATATATATATAATTTTTTATTTAATTTTTTTAATTTAAAAAAATATATTTATGATATGATATTTAAAAAAAATTGTAAAATAAAATATACCATAAATGGAGGGATGTCCTTTTATGTAGTTTTATTTACAAAAAGCCAGCTATAAACAACTAAAGTTGCCAAACACTTAAAATTTAACTACTAACAGAAATAGCCGGTCAAAACAGCTAACTCAATCAGCCATTCAAATCAGCTAACATAAACAGCCAACTGCCAACTGCTAGTATCCAAACAAGGCCAGAATCTATTATACATTCAACTCTCATACATAATCTATTCACAAACCGCCAATACCTTATGCATTTTAATAAACTTTTTCTCCTAATGATGAGCACATTTCACAGATTTCCATGAACTTCTCAAACCAATGACATTTTTTCTATTCACGTAGATGAACACAACATTTTTTCAATAAATTGAGAATTGCTTTTGAGCTTAAACAACCTCAACTTAATGAAATTAACAAAGAAGCACATGAAAACATACACAATCACTCAATAACGAATTCTAAGAAGAAGTCCAAAATCTTTAAAGTCAACGAACACAGAACACAAAAACGATTCACGTATGAGTTCGGAGTTCATTTAACTACCTTATGGAGCTAAAATAGCTTCAACAAAAACCGAATTCCACATTTCAACCTACTCATTAAATTGAATTATGTAATTCAACCAATTCAACAACAACTTGCTCAATAATTGAAGAAAAACTAGTTCTAATTAATTTTCATTCATAAACGATTTAATATAAACATTAAAAAAGAACCCATAAAAGAACACCAACCATATTTTTAGAATTTTTGAAATTAACACAAACAAACAAACAAAAATGTAAAAACTAAACTAAAAACAACACTTTACAAAGAATTGGAGAAGAAAAATAAATAGACAAATATAGGGTTACCAATTTGTTGAAGAAGATGAAGAAGATGAAGAAATTGGAGCTGGAGGAGACTGCCCACCGCTCGCCGGAGCTTTTTCCGCCGCCATCGCCGGAGATGTCCGCCGCTACCACCGCCACTGCCGCCATAGCAGCGGCCAAGCCGCTGCTTTATTCCCGTGTGATTTCCCCCCTGTTGTTCCCCCACTTAGCTGCGATTGCTCTTCAATTTATAGCATGGGAATTCTTCCTGTTGGAGCGTTTGGATGAATTTGGCGGAGAGACGTTGAAGATCGGAGCTCTGGTCCGCCTATTGCGCTGCTTGCGTTAATGAAGAAGGAGAAGCCGCTGGATTTCTTTTTCCTTTCTTGCTGGACGTGAAATTCAAATTGGGGGAGTGGACTGATTTTCTATTGTGTTAGGTTTGGGCTCCGCCCCAAAATCAATCTCTTCTTTTCAAACTTGAATTGCAATTTGGCTTTTTGTTACATTTTTTCTCGACAAATAAGATACCCGGAGTATATGATAATTTTGGGTTACGAAAAATAAAATAATAAAATGTAAAAAGTGATTAAAAATCTACTATTTTTGAAAAAAAATTAAAAGATTGTAAAAATAAGAATTAAAATAAAACTAAGATAAATAATTCAAAATCAAACATTAAAAATATTAAAAATACCTAAAACAAGAATAAAAAGAACTAAACCAAACCCGACTTATCACTTCCCCTTAAGCTAGGCCAAGTTTAAGATACAAATTTTCAAAAGAGGTTTTCAAAATCTTAAACTTACCTTCTCTTATGGTCAACCAGAAACCGAAAAGCGGAATGCTCTCTGTCGGGTTGGGTGGTATTCAAGTTTTATTTGTAGATCCCGTACATATGTTTTAACCTAGGCCACCGAATATTCATAATTATACCCGCAAG